TTGAATTTAATATTGGAAATCATATAGCAAATTTGATTCGTAGGCGGGGTTTGGAGGTCTATTTTGAAATCTGCACCAGAACCCCCAATGTGGCCTATATAATAATTTTGTTGATAAATATATAATTTTCAGCATTTTTGATTTTTTTAAGCATGAAACATTAATTAAAAAGAAGTATTATGATTTTTGATACTAGTTTTTTTTTAATGAATTTGATTTTCATAATTATACATGAAAGTTCTTTTATGCATAATATTATTTTTTATCAAAGTCAGGCTTTTATAATCTGAAAACTTGATTTTTAGACCACTTATTAATGAATAATTCACATATTTTCTATATAAATATTTTTTCAGTTTATAAAGATGATGATTCAGATTTATTAATCAATATATCATTACAATTATTTATAAATTTCAAATAATTAAAGAATATAAATAAGTAATAAGTAACATTTGATACTAATAAATATATTTTATATGTTTTATCTGAATTAAAGTTTAAAAAGGAGGTATCATTGATAAAATCTTCACTTTTCAGATGTTTGATTATAATAAAAAAAGAAAAATCAAGCAACACCAACAAATAAATAGAAAGAAAAAACCAACAGTTTGAATGAAAGTTATGCTTTCAAAAAAAAATGACAATAATAAACAAATTAATTAAATAAGCAACTAACAAAACAATTAGAAGGAAGTAAAAGCTAATAACAATAATTAGAAGAAATTAATAGCTAACAATATAGTAATAATAATAAGATAATAAATAAATTCAATAGAACAAATAACTATTAAAAATTATGAGGAGATAATAAATGAAGTTGATATAACAAACAACTAGTAATAACCATTAAGAGGAGGAGGAAAAGGAGGAGATAAGACATACCTAATAATATAACACTAACACCTATATTAGTATTAATACCAACAAAATGCAATTTCAATAAATGAATGTAAGCAAAATGTATTATGTCTTAAATAAGAGAGGAAGTACAACGTCACACCACCGGTATTTTTTTTACTAAGTATTCTGGGAACAGAAATTTTATTGATATAGAAATCCTAACCGTCACACCCACTTTTGACTCTTATATGTCACTTGATCGACATAACCTGGCACACGTGATTTCAGAGCGAAAAAATATACCTTTTTGAATTTGTAAATATTTAATATAAATGCTATTAGAATACAAAAATATTTTAAAAATATATACTAATTATACATTTCAAAATAAATATTTATTATTTATTTAATTTTTAATCTACATTTTAGTACAATATTAGTAGGAGTGAAAGAATTTAGATCAAGTCCGAATTTATCAGACTGATCAAAAATAAAAAATATAAGATCGGCTTTTTAAGTAAGATGATGTTTGTGAATTATTTACAAAACAATTGGGCGAACAACAAAACATATGTAAAGAAAAATTAATAATATAGAAAGGTTTGAATGAAGTATAATAGCGCAATGGTTATATTGAAAAATTATTTATCTATATTTTAATATGTTTGACACAATGTTTAATTTCCTTTAAGTTAAATCAATAAGTATATCTCGATAATAGTATTATAACTCTCAATGCCGAATTAAAGACCATTTTAAGGAGTCCAGGGTATTAAATTATATAACTCAAAACATATTATGTTGTCAAAGTACAAGGTAACAGGCGAAGCAAATCCATAGGATAATCTTTTTTTTTATTATTATTTATACAATGTATTTGTGGCTTCGCAAGCTTATGAAAAATAATGCACCGCCATGATCGATCTTAGAAAAGCCGTTTGGAGATGTCAATTATATTTACAAGGCAAATTCGTTTTATTTTAACAGCCTTTTTTACTAAAAGAATGAAAAGAAAAAGAAAAAAATATCTCGGAAACCAAGTTCCTTATTGAGGCAGTGCAATGGCGGCGCAGAACTTTTTATATTAATTATTCAAATAAATTTACATTTTAGCATAGCCACATGGGTTATTAAGATAAATAAACAAAATGTCTTTGAAACAGATGTATAATTGAGAAATTTTAATTATTTTTTCAAAATTAACTTTAATATAATGATTGATTTTGGAATATATCGCAGGGGCATGAAGTTGGTACGCGAAAAAGTGTAATATAAAATTTCTCACGTTGAGACAGAACAAATTGCTAATCATATGATGCAATTCCCAGATGCAACGCATCAACGAATCAATGGCAACACAATCCTTCGTTCTTACGTCAGTTTGGCAAGCCATCATAGCAACATCGCTAGAAATTCGAGTATATCTCCGTAATAAGAATGCTGGTAAAATGGTGGAACAATTATTTCCAGGGACTTGTAACAGCGAACCTTCGACTTCGATAGTGAGAATGAAAAATATCACCGAAGAAAACATTCTTTTTATTTCTTTTCAAATTTTTCAAGTGTGGTTTTGTTTTAACGCGGTAAGAATGCACGCTTGTGTTTATTAACGAAAAGAATTTCATTTATTGAAATTATCATTCCTTTAGATCTACAATCAAAATACCATTCAGATCATTACCATTTCTGCAATTAATTTTTGTTGTGCCTGTTTAAGCATTGTAAGTTGAAGCAAATGCATGCCTTGATTCGCAATTACTTAATTATACAATCTTAAACAATTCCTAATAGGTTCAACTTCTTGAAGTCATAAAATGGTACCGAGATTTCGAACACGAGTGTCCCGATGGAATCGATCAAATGAAATTGGAGCAAAAATATCCCACTAATGACGTACCTTTAATAATAACATTAATGGTATTTGCTACCATCATATCTTTTCTAAGTTGGAACTTATACCGTCAATTTGGTTGGAATATTTACAAAAAAATCGGCTGTGACATCTCGATGCAAGGTACGAAAAAAATATTTTTCGGATTGATTTGTTTTTGGATTTAATTATTTTTAATTAACCTGACTTGATGTTAGCCATATATAGAACGTACTTAATCTATGTAATGTTACTTAAACTTGGGTTGTTCTTCATATTGGGATTAGCGATAGAATCATGTTTAGTGTTCGGAATTAATTTGTCAAGCGAAGACATAAATCACATTAGATATATTCCAAAGATAATTTATTTGTTTCATTTAGTAGTAACTTGTTTGATTATTCTAAATCAAATATTAGGATATCGTTCGGTATGTTAAAAGAGTGCTTGTATATATAACAATCTAATTAATATTCAGGAATTTTTTTATATTTATAGGTTAGAAAAGAAATAAAGTTGGGCATGATATTAGTAGGTTCATTCTGGGTTGTTATTATTTTGGATTTTTGTATACTCTTATTTTATTCAATAGGAAATGTTAAGGATAGTTGGTACTTTTACATTGTGTATCGTAAGTAAAAGATTTATTATAAAACTTTCGCTTAGAACTTTACTAATGTCATGTTATTATTATGTTTGCTAGTGTTCGTGGGAATTGCTCTAAGTTTGGTAAGAACTGAGTTTTTGGCTAAATATTCTATATTAAATTCGACTCACATGAATTTTACGAACCTCACTTTAGCTATCGTTAGTATGGTCCGTACGTGTTAAAACTAATTTTAATAAGGGACTACAAGATCATAGTGAGTTATTATTTGAAAGGTTCCTGTGCTTTGTGTTCAATCAATTTTTTTTAGAACTTTTTCCCACATAGTTGATCAAGAAATTCGAAAACCGAATTCTGGAAATAATCCTTTCCCTCAAGTCCCTCAAGAGGCAATAAAAAAGCCCGATAGATGGTCAATTGATGATTGAATAATTAGGATTTTTTTGTATGATTGTATTGTAATTTAGAACTGAAATCTTTGTACAATAATTATTATCATTATATATAAATAAAAGTATGCGTGGCGATGAAATCATACGAAATTTTTTTATATCATGTGATTAAATTTGAGATTCTACGCGTCAAAAGTCATGTCCTAAAATGGAAACTCTAACCGTGAATAATATCCTTTTAATTGATAATCATCTCTTACTTTTGAGGAAAAATTTTCAACTTTTCAACTTTTCAATTTTCTTTTTTTTGGTTTTTTTTATTCTCAGGAAAATATAAGGTATAATCACATTATTTTTGAAATTATTTTTTTGTTTTCATAACGAGCAAAAGAAATTGATGTAGATGAAATAAAATGGAGAATGTTTTGAAATTTTAATAAAATATATTTAATTCTTATTCCTTCCTAATATATAATTAATTAGACTTTTTTCAGCCATATATTACATACTTGCTTAAACCATGGATATTATTAATATTATCGAAACAGAACCTAAATCACGTGAAGAATACTCAAATGAATTTAATGATATTGAAAATGTTCCAACTTCCACGCCTCAAAACGACGAAAATAGAATGGGTAATTGATATAACTCTTGTTACAAGAAATGTATTTAGTTATTTTCATTTGATCATGACTCTTAATTTTTTATGAATCCTAGTCATTCCTATAGATGATGATGATAACAACGGTGAGGATAATGGTGATGTCAAAGATAAACCATATGATTCGGATGATGATAATCCACTTTTTCAAGAAATCAAACAAAAGTATAGAAATCGTAAGTTCAACCATATTATTATTCTATGAATGATGTAATTAGTTTGCTAAGATATTAATCCTAGTTTATTTTATAGGAAATGTATCCGATAAACTTAAACCTCTTACTTTGCCAATTTTTACAAATATAAGAAAAAATTTAGAATCTGGGCAGAAAAAATATGGAAAACGTAGGAACGATGAATTTGTTTACCTGTAAATTATTGAAAGTATATAATTAAACAACTTGTTATTTAGCACGTTCGTCAAGTCAACCTCGATCATCAAGTGGGTATAGCGCGGATTCAGGGGGGAGTGAATCATCTAAGAAAATTGTTCATCTTACAAATGGTTAGTAAAAAAATGGTTTTCTTGAAGATTTCCTATTATCACGATATTAATTTAATATTTGTTTGGATAGATAATGTTGATGAAGAAGAAGATGATCATGATGGAGTTGGATCTTCGAGAAATAAACCTTCATCTACACCCTCAACTGGTATAGTATTTCTGTGTTAATTACAGACAGGATAAATTTCATGAAGTTCTAATATTTTCTTTAAATCAAAGGCGGTCGAATGTTATTTGGAGAAGAATTTAGATGTATTGACATTTCTGATGGTGAAGAAACAGCACCAACATCACAAAAGAAAAAAAGTATGTATTACTTTAATTGATGGTAAATTATATTTCAAAAATATCTATAATTATTAATCATTATTTTAAGAAAATCGAGGATTTGAGTCAGATATTCTTCATAACTTTACGTTTGATGAGAAGAACTCCAAAAATGAAACAGCTGAAAATTTACTCGGTAAATTTTAAAGATTTGGTTAAAGTTTGTTTGGATTAATTAATCAAAATTATATCAACGAAAAAAAAAATATATATATATATTCAAGATTCGCGACGCAACGAGCTGCATGATTTTGACATGTCAGATAACGACGACAACGCAAAACAACATTCTCGTAGAAAATCAGCAATAAATGGTAATTTTTTTATGATTTGACGTTCAAGTATTATCTACTAAATAAAATTTTATTGAATTTCAGTCTCTGACGAATCTGAAGGAGGATTCGATACTGATTTTTTTAGTGATGATAGTAGCACAAAAAAAGATTTATTCATTAAGCCAGATGGTTAGTATTGTTTCACGTTATATTCAATCGACTATTATGTAATGAATAAGATTTTAATATTCTTCGTTACAGGTAAATTATCGGATGACGAACGAAATTCGAATTTAAATGATGTATATTCTAACCGTTCAAAAGCCCCAAAGAAATTTTCCAAGAAATTTAAATGTAAAGAATTTTCATTATTAAGTTTCTTAGTCGATTAACTAAGTTAACCTATTTGATATCCTATTCTTTTAAAACAAAATTAAAATAGTAAATTCGTTAAATTACCTTTCCGACGCGTCTGAGGAGTCCGAAGATGAAGACTATTGCCCAATAATGTCCATAAATGATGATAATAAACAAAAAGGTGAATTATTTATTATAATAATAAATTGCTTAATATTTTACTAAAGTTCAATAAATATTATAGAAAAATCCAAAAAAAAGGAATCATTCTATCTCGACACTGATGAAGATGAACCTAGTGAGAGAGAAAGAAAGTCAAAATATGATGGTATGAAATTCAAATTTTTTAATGATTGAATATTTATTTTTAAAAAATTTAACAGATAACTCCCCAAGATTATTATCTACAAAAAAATCTTTAGGTTCATATCATTTTTTTATTTTCGTTCCTTTTTTATCAAACTGATATGATTAATGGCGTATTATTTATATTTAAAAGTCCCGAATAGAGACGAGTTGAATACGGAGGCTCCAATGAACGTTGATGGTGCCTTTGGTAAACTTGATGAATCTATTTTAGATGATGACTTAAGTTTAGATGATTATATTGCTGTAGATAAGCCAACATATTCACCAAAAAAGAAGCAGAGTCAAAGACAGATAATAATTCACGAAGAATCAAGCAGTATAAAAAAAAATTATTTATACTTTGTTATTGATGCGTAAGAGATGAAATTTAATATTAACAACATAATGTATATCATTAATAGATATTACCGAACTTCAGCCACCTTTTCAGCCTGGATCCTCACCAATGAAAAATGGTCGTCGATATTTAGGTATTTACATATTTAATTGTTCCATGCTTTTTATTTAAATAATTGATTTCTAAAATTTACTTGAAATTTTAAGCTATCAATTGGATTGGTAGCATTCTTGCGGTAGATAATAATACTTATCATTCAATAAATGTCGAATATAATAACAAAACACTATACAAAGGATACAATTTACGTGATGAAATTGGCTATACTATGGCTTGCCTCGGTACTTATTTAATTGTATTATATATCATTCCTTTTGTGATAAGAAACATTAAGCTAATGTTAATTTATTAAAGGTACACAGGGAGCGCTTTTTGCTGTAGAATCTGACGCAGAGAATCCAAGTGTATTGTATTATAAACCAAATCAAAGCTGGTCCCAAAAAAGTGATTGGATGACAACTCTTCATCCGGGTGAAGATATTACAGGTAAAGATCGATTCAAGTATTCATTTTATAATATATGATATTTAATTTAACATTACATTTATTTATTTTATTATATATAGCTATTGCTTTAAGTGATCAAGCAGTAGTCGTAGCAACTTCTAAAAATTATTTGCGATTCTTCTCTCCTTTTGGTTTTCAAAATTACATATTCTCATTTCCTTCTATCATCTGCATGGCGGCATATAACAATTTTCTTTTGATCGCTCATCATTTGAGTGTTGCTTATAAAGGTATAGTTTGATTTATGATTTAATTGATATTGGTATTCTTCGATTAATAATAGTATTTAACTTGTATGTGATATTTTTAATCATAGGTTCACAAAATCTTGGATACGTTTTGTATGATATGCATGAACGTGGTGATGTACAAAAAGATGTTTTACCAATATCTAAAGAATCAACATTGAAATGGTTGGGCTTTTCGGAAGAAGGGGTAAACAAGTTATAATGCTAATTATTATTAAAGGGTTAATTACATTTGAAGCTTTATTATTTACAAATTATTTTATGTCATTATTTAGCTGCCAGTAATGTTTGACTCTAAAGGTATTCTTTTTATGCTTCATGATCATCGAATATACAAACAAGCAAGATGGGTACCTATATTAGATACCGCCAATATCGTAAATGATCCTACTAAACCTGATGTCGACAACAAATCAAAGAAGATTTCGGATGTTCGTAATATTTTTGATGACACCTCAAAGACGGATATCTCTGAAAACAAGAATGAAAAGGATGATGAAAAAGATTTTGAGGAAAGGGATAAAGAGAAAGAGAAGGAATGGATATATTGGCCTGTTGCGGTTATTGAATCTAAATTAATTTGTTTTATTCTGAAGGTAGTTATAAAATAAATTTCGTGATTAATAAATTATTTCTTGTATTTTTTCATTTCAAACTTCTTACGTCAAATATATATTTTTTTTAAGTACGGTGAAGACGTACCCCGTTATCCTCGACCTACACATGACGAAGTTAATTGGCAAATGCCACTCTTACATCTTGATAAACTGAGTGGACGTTGTGAAGAAAGGTTAGCTTTATTTATAGTTCTTTGTTAATGGACTTATGTAATAAATCTAATAATAAAATAATTCACATTATCTATTGACATAGATGGATACGGGAGTCTATCCTATCGAGCTTTCAATACCAGGAAGCCAATGCCAAAAATGAGTTGAGTCTCGTAAAAGTTACGGAATTAAGGAAGAAAGAAAGAGATACTAAAAAGATCATGATCGAATTAATCCAGGCTAGTATCTAAATTTCATTTAAGCTATTTTTAAAGTTTTATGTTATTTTGATTAAATTGCTTTAAATATTAAAAATATAGATAGCTGTTAGTGAAGAAAGATATGAACGTGCTTTGGAATTAGCAAGATTACTAGATTCGACAAAGTTCTTGGAATCTGCATTAAAAATTGCAAACTTTTATAATGTTACAAGTTTGGCCGAAAAAATTCATCATTTGCAATCAGTAAGTTGTTCTTTATTTAAGTAAAAAGAATCGTTAATAAAAAATCTATGATTAACCGCTTATATATTATTGTATTATTGAAAAGGAGAAAGAAAAGTCGAAAACAAAAGAACGAGAAGCTTTATTAAATAGATCAATGTCGTATTCGAATAATAAGTAAGTAAACAAAATTTAAAAATTATCTACTACTATCAAGCCAGAAATTTTCTCAATATAAATATATACTTTTTTTTGTAGTTCGATTCAAAGTGATTCGGTACTCTTATCTGATCTTAATCATAGTTCGACTAAATTGAGTAGGTCACCACCACCCTACGAAGATTCACCAACCAATCCATTAAAAAGAAGCGTAAAGGATATGAATGATGAAATACAGGAAGTCGATGAACATTCACCAAAACCTAAGAAATCGGCTATACCTATAAGTTCAATGTTTAAGAGAAAGCTACTAAATTGAAATAATTTTATAATTTACGGCGCCATGTATTCTAATTTTTTTTAAAAAATTATATATTAAATCACGTGTTACATAGAATCATACATTTTTTTTCGTTTTTAGTAATGACCATATTTTTTAAGTTCGTTCGGATAGATTTTGATGCATTAAATCACGCCAAAAAAAATTAAGATTGAGAAAATATTCGAAAGTTTGTTTTGATTAGACATAAATTTATATCTTGAATGTCATTGTTTTCAAAAGTATGTATTGTGTATTTTTAAGGAATTGGAATCAAAGTTATTTTTAAATAAAAAAAATTATTATTGCATTTGGCAATGTCTCTTATCAAACTTGGACAGTGATGGCTTTTTGGACTATTGGACTTATAATTGATTCAATATTTTATTATTTTAATTAACTTAAGCAAATTACTTTATAGTTTATACTGCAAATTTATTATCATTAAGCTATATTTCTAAAATAATTAAAAAATAATAAACAACGCATAATACAGAAACAGTTGCTACTAGTATTTTTAAAATGGAAAATAAAATATAAAGTACATAATGTATATTTACAGGTATATTGGACAAAAATAATTGAATAATTGGACATTGTCCATAAAGGTGGACTTAGTCCAAATTCCAAATACAATTGGACTCATTTCCAATCAATCCAGTTTCAATTGTCCAAATTTTTTTCAATTGTACTTTGTCCAATTCCATCATTGAACTTGGATCAAATATAATTGATATTTTTATTCTAATGTGAAATTTGAAATTGGACTCGTTTACTGCGGTCGATAAATTATTCCCATTTTTAGCGGATTTTAAACCAGAAAAAGATGGTTGATATATAAGAAGTCTCAAATGATCTATAAATTAAAGTCTGCATTTACTGTTTTTATAGTTACAATAATTTGATAATGGTTTTGATAACCTACCTTTAAGATAATCTGTGAACAAAATCAAAACATATATATATAAAATCTTTGAGAAACATTATTATGTAATTTTCGCAAATAAACTGCGCCATCGAAATCCAAATTTAAACTTGCTCAACCTGTTCGGTGTGCCTGAATAATATTTTCCGCAACTATGGATGTACGATGTAACGAAAATTATCAAATTAAAAAAAAATAATTTACAAAGGATGTAAGTTTATTAAAAAAGAAAATACAAGAAATCAATTTTTACTGCCTCAGCCGGCAGCTCTGTAATAGACCTCTAGAGAAAAGGATGTTTCTAATTCTATCCTATTCAATTCTATCGAAAAACGAAGCAATTTGATATCTAATTTTTCTTCCCATGGCTTTGCTACAAAATTCTTTAAAAATATCCTTTAATTGCGGCTAAATGACGGATAGAGAACTTAATTGATCCTTTATGCATATTTTGATTGGGTATGTTCCCGAACAAACAATCATCAAATTATATTGAAAGTTTGATTATCGATTGGGAATTTTATTAAATTAATATTAGAAATTAAATTGATATTACAGATATAAATGTTATTGCGATATAGCAGCTCGTGAATTTTGACAATGTTATTTTTGTAGATTTGGTCGTTATCAAAATTTTCAACAGACCAGAATATTTACTTGTAACGATTTTTTAATCTACTTGGTTTAGATTTTGAAAATATATTAGATATTGTATTGTCACCATACTGGATCTCGAGATTTTATCGAGAACCAAGAAACAGAATTAGAGGCATAGGAAGAACGGAAGAAAGGCCGTAAATTTCATCTAATTTGATCTTGAACCCTCAAAAAAAACTTCTCGCGGTGATTAAATGCATAACCTCTATACAGGAAAGCTATCATGACTTTATCACATAGTTTCCAGCAAGAAATGCGATCCCAGGATCATTATATCTGGCACTTTAGGTATTAGTAAATCGGACTTACTGATTTATTTGTTCCAGCTCTAGAGCATAATAATGTTCTTTTCTAATTTTTTTCCAGTGAATGTTGAGAATTTTCTTAAAATTTGTTTTTAGAATGCTTCTTATATTCAATCTTCCCAAGCCTAATTGTGAAACGAAGTTCACATGCATAATTCTTGACTTTATTAACAAATACTTCAGGATTGAACTTGAAGGAGTTGAAAACTGACATCATAACTTTCACTAAATTTCCAAATATATTAGTATTACAAAGTAAACGTAGTGCCGGGAAAATGCGCATTTATGACTTTAATTTCGTTCACGTGATAACAGAAAAAAAAAATAATACTAGAATTCGAGCTTCAAAGTTATTTAAAATAGTCCAGGGTCATATTATTTAACGGATATTTTTTTTTAAAGAAAAATACTGTGAATTTTATCTAATGGTTACACAGAAATAAAATAAAATTCTTTTTAAAAAAAAATGTAAATGGCGCGTTAAAGTTAAAAAAGAACCACAATATTCACGTGAAAAGTCGAGATTTCTATACACTTATCACAGTAACATGATGTCTCGCAGCATATTACCAATTACTAATGATTATGAATGTTATTCAAACTGGCGATTATTGCTGCTTTCAAAAATAAGTACAACTTTGACTGAACACACCGAGTATTTCATTTTATTATTTCTATTAAATTTCGTATTATTACTACATCAAATTTTAAATTCATTTAAGAATTGTTGAAATAATATCTAGTATCTAATACATGTCTTTTCGCATAATTTTTAACATTTTCGCTTTCTCCCGGAAAAAGACTAGCCAACAGTTCTCCGAGTTGTATCAGACTCATGGCAACTCCACCACAAGCATCAATTAATTTTTGACGCAAGAGTATTGGTGTTTTCATTCGGCCCTGTAAACATCATATTTCGGCGATTTCTTGTTGCATAACATTGTGCGGCACTTGCAACAAGTTTACAAGATATCTTTGTTCCAATGGAGATAAAAAATGATTTCGTAAAGTATAAATCGTAGCAGGATAACTATTTGAATAGTACATATTTACAACCGACATTGATGATTTACCAGTTAGGATTGGAATTATGACGGTGCTTTCATTTGTGAAGTTGCCTTCAGCGATATATTCATTAAAAAATCGAAGCATGGCAACCGTGAGAGCATGGGATTAAACTGGAACTCGTCAACTTGAACAAAGATAATTAGGTGTGTGCTCTCATCAATAGTGCCGAGATCATTACGGATAAGTTTGATCACGGTAATGAGGTCACTAAAAGACGGGTTAATCTTACTTTGCGCCGTATGTCCCTATCGTCCAGTAAAATAGGAAGTCGCTATCCCGAGCGCCAAAATCCTTCCTGCAACTTGATCGCCACAATACTGACTTTTATGAGAGTATTCGCAGGTCTTTTCCGCAAACTTCCAACCTTTTCTTCATCGGTATACTGATGAACTAACTGCTTGCAAACGTATTTTTTCCGAATTACTTTGCTGCGATTGCTTTCCTTTTGTATCATCTGTATTCGTGTGCGAGGGAAAATGTAAAGGAGAACATCCTTGTCGAAGGAAAACATGATGTACATACAACCTTTTCGTTGCAATTAATGGTTGAATGATCTGGATGCCTCTTAAAAAACGCTAGCCATTTCAATTCCAACACGAGTTTTTCCGATCCAGTAATCACAATTCCATGATAATCATTAGGCCGGAAATTATTGGCGATCAATTCAATTCAACTATTTTGAATTACATCCTGTTAACAGATACTAATTAACATGGCAAGTCAATCGTTTTAATTATTAAGTTTATATATCAAACTTTACAACGAAGCAAAGTTATTGGAGAAATAAATGGTGTCTTTTAATCAACTTTAAATTACACAAAGGAATGAATATGTAAAAATTGTTAAAAAGCTAACTCATTTACGAGAAAATTGAATACCTTGCGTGGTTATGAAATTTTGTTTCAAGTATGTAAAGAATATTGGAAAGAGTATGAAACTTCCTTAAAGGGTACCTTAAACTTTATAACAGGGTATCGATTCAGCACCTGCAGTTACTACTAGTGCTCCGTAAGTGTTGGGTCTGTAGCATATTCGACTCGAACCCGTTATTATTTACAGGACCCGAATTCGACTCGACCCGATTATTTTTAAACTCGAATTTTAAGGGTAATTTAATACCAAAGTAAAAAAATTTATTTATATAACTAATGAAAAGATGCTTTCATATTTCACGTGTCATCAGAATACTGAATTGATGCCAATAAGTATTTTAGCAAAATGATTTTGATCAGATAAGAATATTAAAGATTAACTCGCTGAGGAGTATCTCGTATTTTAACTCGAATAAAATTCACTTATTAGGATATACAAGTTTATTTGTTTATAGTATCCTGTAACTTGAAAAAAAAATTCGAATCCTTGAAGTTCCAGAAATTCATTATCCTTTTGAAATAAACTGAAAGAATTTTTTCTCTTTTTATAAGTACAGGATTATTGCAAATATCGAGACAACATATTAACCAAGTCAAACGAATTTTTATTGCTATAATATATATATACATTGCATATTATTATTAAATAATGTAAAATTTTGAATTTACGTCGAAGTTTTTTGCTCAGATACAAACACTCCGCAACGAATCGAAATTTTTAAATTTTTTTATTGATTTTCCTATTTTTGATTTGTATCGTTTCAGACAGAGTACCTAGATAATCACAATATTTTTTGAATAAAACCTTTCTACCAATTTATTTTGAGCTTTTTAGCCAAAGAAAATATATTGCGGTGAAATGTATTACATAAAAATCTTGGCGGATTTCAAAGGATTAAAATCAGTAAGCAACAAAAAAAAAAAATGATTGAACCATCATTAGATATGGTGATTTTTTTTTTTTTGATACATTGTTGTACTGGATCGGTTAGTACGATCAGCGTCAGAGATTTAACAATCACACTGGTCAAAGATATATAACGCAAAGTTTAAATTGATAAACGCAAGTTTAATATATTCTATTCTAAATTTTTCCTGCTAAAACAATAAGATTGGGTCATTTATAGATAATAAATTTTTGAAATTTTGTTTTTCGAAATCTGGAATGAGTTAAAAATTTGTATGGCCTTTTGCAAAAATAAGATGTAAAATGATAATGTCCGTTAAATTTGTTGAACTTGTAATTAAAAAAAAAAAAAAAAAAAAAAGGAACAAAAGAGAAGAAAATATTTTAATAATCTAACGCCAAGTACCGGGGGAGGACAAAAGTATTGCACGGTTTTGATTTAGATATTTTAGTTAATTTATCATATGTAACTAAGCCATATTTTTTTGTAACATATTGATTATCGATTACATAGATGAAATATTTTTATTATAGTTTGAAATAATATGTTAAATCGAATTTGAAAATACTCCCAAAGTTCGCTTTGGCGCAAGTGATAGTATAATTAAAGGACTTGTCTTTTAGAAAAAAAGAGCAATATTAAAGCAAAAAATTTGGTTCAGTAACTCAGAATCATAAATATTATATGATATCATTATACAATAGTAATTTGGCTTCTTTTGCAAGAGAAACATCTAAAAAACCAAATATTGAATCCGATATCGAAGCTTAATACATGCGATAAATTGAAAAGTAATGTGTTTTTAAATTTTCGATCTTACACCTTGCAATGCTTTAATTTTAACAATTATTTAAATATTTTATTAAGCATAAGCCAGCCAATATGTTACTAAAAAAATATGGCCCAGTTACATATGATAAATTAACTAAAATATCTAAATCAAAACCGTGCAATACTTTTGTCCTCCCCCGGTATATTATTGAGTTTCCATAATAAAGTATTATTTCATCAAGAAATTTTTCTGTACTTTTTACTTTTATGAATGTGACCGCATTAAATATATCATCGCATAGGTCATGAAATATATGAGGTGGAAATCCACCTTGGCTTCCTCGAAATAATATATGGCTTGCATAAGAAATTAGCTTTCTATATCTACTTTACGACCTATTTTGAGATTATATTATAGATAAGTAAATTTTACGATCAATTTTTGCATTTTATTTTGCAAAAAAATACAGTTTTACTATATAAAAGTCAATACTGGCATTCATAATCTACTATTTGTATTTAATTAAAGTTGTAGAATATTCCGCTAAAGATTTAAAAAGTTCGAAAAATTTCTGTTAAGTTTATAGTTACACAAAATAAATGCTTAATTAGAGATCGACATGCCGATTTTTATATGAAAAAAATGCGTCAAAATTACATTCACTTATATGCTAACATCATATTCTAACAATAAAACCTTTTATAATTTTAATATATAAGAAATTTCAGGTTTTATTCTTTTCTAAAATCAATTTATTTTTGCTATATCTATGCTAGCTTTAAAAAATCTTCAGTTAGAAATGTTAGATTTTTTTGTGGCGCAGTAAATTTAGAATGTGATTAATTTGAAAAAAAAAAAATAAGTAAAATAAAATGAAATAAAATAAAAATTACTATTACAAAATAGAAAATTAATTGTTAAATTAATTTTAACATTGAAAAAAACTCATATTTATATAATTTTTTTGTTAAAATAATGATAAACCAAATTAATCAAATTGTAAATTAAAATGATAACTAAATTTCATATAGTAAGTAAATCCAATTTAAGCAATTTGATTAAAATAACTATTTCTCATTTTGACTTTTCTTTTAAATTTTCAGTATAAACCCTGTCAATTAAACATCAAAATTGTAAACCTGTAAAACAAAAATAATCTTGTAAATCTTGTAATTGTAAATCAAAAATCAAATTGTAAATCAAAAATAAACTTGTAAATCTTATAATAATAAATCAAAAAATCAAATTGTAAATCAAAAATAAATTTGTAAATCTTGTAATAATAAATCAAAAATCAAATTGTAAATCAAAAATAAACTTGTAAATCTTGTAATAATAAATCAAAAAATCAAATTATAAATCAAATTGTAAATCAAAAATAATCTTGTAAATCTTGTAATAGTAAATCAAAAATCAAATTATAAATCAAAAATAAACTTGTAAATCAAAAACCAAACTTTTAAATTTCATACTAAGTAATAGTAGCAGTAAATCTAATTTAAGTAATTTTGTTTAAAATAACTATTTCTCATTTTTGATTTTTTTTTTTTAAATAAAATTATATGAAAATTAACAATTAATCTCATTTTGACAATAATTTATAAATATACAAAAAAATTTTAAAATCTTAATGTATTTTTTTAACAATTTATTCTTTTGATTCTTTTATTATCTGCTATTTTGCCAAAATATTTGCATTAACAGTATTAACTTTGAAAAAAAACTATATTATTATTATATCAAATAAACATATCAAATTAAGATATACATTAATTTGCAATTGCTAACATTAGTATTTTGAATGAATCAATGCAAACCTCATATATTACACAATTTTATTATAAAAACAAAATATTTTTGCAAATATCTTGATATATAGTGATCTGATTTATGTGGTCTTTTTTTTGTTATGTTGAAGATAACGAAAGCTACATTTTAAAAAAGTTTATTCAAATCTGATCACTATATTGTGAGATAATTATTTAGATCTTATAATTGAATCATGCAAAATATTAATCTATTCCATCCCATTCAGAATACTAGCTATTGCTATTACTACCACTATCATTACTATATTATTATTATTAATTTTCTATTTCTGCTTTTATAGTAACTTGAAGAAATATTCTTATTGATGAAAATGATATTAAAATATGCTATCTAAATGAGGTTGAAGATTTATTATCAGATGATGATAATTTAAGTACTATTACTATTAATTTAATATTAATAGAAAGTAATATTACTGTCGATGCTGAAATTTTACCAATTCATCAATTTAAATAGGATCAAACAGCTTTTAGAAAAGTCCAAGAATTATTAAATATAAATAATAAAAAATATAAAATTAATAATGAAATTAATTGGGATGATATTAATTTTTGATGACAGAATAAATTATGATAGAATTAATAGAAAATGAAATTAATTATCAAATTGATGAAAATATTTCAGATAAATTAACATCTTGTTTTAATTAATGATAAAATACAATGTTGCTCTAAAGTAACATCAACTCAATGTCTATTGATACAACTTATAGAAATATGGGAAATTAGTAAAGAAACTTTTACTAGTATAAAGGTAGAAAACAAATTATATACTTTAGGAGTTTGTACTTCTCACTTTAATTTTGATCAAAATTCTTTTCATACATCAAATTTGAAACAGAAGAGATCTGTTGATAAGAGTTGGATTTATCATTGATACTGCTTATTTTGTAATAAATATAAGTATTTTTTTAGTTGTAAAAATAACTATATAGAATACTCAATATATATAACTGGACGAAATGTATAAGTATCTTGCATTAGACTTAAAAATTACTCTGTTTTTAATATACAAAATACAATTATTAGTAAGTTAAATAATAAATATTGATCATATTATACTTGTTTAGAAT